TTTTGGAACCTTGAGGCACAATGCCACTTTCGACAAAATGTGCACTGGATTGGCGCACAATTTTGTCGGCAATTTTGTTGTGTCGTGGATTCCCCAAAAAGCGAATATAGCTAGTTGTTTTGGATTCTGCAACTGTAAGTGGATTCCGCAAAATGTAAGCGGATTCCGCAAACTGTAGGTGGATTCCGAATTTTGATCAAAACTGAACTTGCATATGAACAATTAAAAGCTAGATCTGGAATTCTTATCTCTAGCAATACGGAATTTAATAGCAAGGACTTAACCATTGTCAGCGGAATCCACGAACAGGTCTTAAAACATTGGTTACCTAAATCGGTGGATGTCATCCTTTAGTATTGTGGAAACACAACACCGAATAATTTCAATATTTGGAGTCATTGAGTTGAAATTGTATGGAAATACAACATACAGCATACCGCTAAATTAGGTCAGAATTTGGGATTGCGTCAATCCCAAATACTGGTCAGTATTTGGGATTGATGAAATTCCAAAAACTGGAATAATACGGAATATATATGGAATAAATTCTTTATTTGGAGTCATTAGGTTGAGAGTGGTTAGAAACCCAACGCGTAGCAAATCGTCGAATTAGTTCAGTGTTTGGGATTTCATCGATCCCAAATACTGGTCAATAATTGGGATTCCATTCATCCCAAACACTGATTTAGCAAATTTCTATTCTAGTGAAATCAAATTATGTGACTAAAAGATATTTTTTTAAACGCTACTACATAAATACATATGTGTAAACGGAATCCGCACACAAAATGCGGATTCCACTTATAATTTGCGGATTCCACGTACACTTTGCGGATTCCACTCACAGTTGCGTATTCTGCAACAGCTCAATGTAACTATACACATGTCTTATTGTTTGTTTGTGGACTCCACAAACTGTTTTGGATTCCGCAAATACGGTTGCAGGTTCCGCAAACTCGTCTATTTTTGAGCGATTTTGAGCGGAACAGTGTTTTAAGTTTTTGTTTGTGGAATCCATAAAAGCAAAGAAGATCAAAGAAAAGTAGCAATGGTGTGGATTCCACGACAAATCTGATTTTGGCCTGTTTTCAAATCCGCATACAATGCACAGAATGCACAGTTTGGCCTCGTAATGGAACATTTTTGAAAATTTTTGACCAAAAATTGGCGCTCTTTTTTGTTGCAATTACCTAAAATTTAGTAATTGTCGGCGGCATATTTTTTTAAGGTTTTTCTAAGGCTAGTTGGTTAATATTGGCTGTCAATTAAAAAATCAAGGAGGAGTTATTATTTCAAGAAGTAGTTACCATTCATGATTTCGAAACTCTTACAATCTATAAGGCCTACAATATTATTTTGTGATATGACATTCCCTTTTTCGCCTGTCAGTAGTTAAAAAGATTGATTCCCCTATAAAAACAATTAATAGTAGAAAAATAATGTTTTGAAAGCAATCACAACTTACTAATGACGTAAAAAAAATTATGGCCTATAATATAAAAAAAATCATGTTTTCTTAAAAATCTAAATTTTTATATCAGAACTTCGGCTTGTTGACATGTTGACAGGGTAATCTGATTGCTTAGTTTTTGACCCCCGTATTAACCTACTTTTCTGCGCTTTCAGCTGTTTTTTCAGCCTTGCTTTAAAATATTAATGCATTGCTTGCTCTATCATCTGAAGTAAAGCGTTAGCTCTACTTGGAGCTGGAAACGCTCAGCCCGCCTGACACGGAATTGATTTTGTGAAAAAGAGGAACAATCCAAATCTGATGTAAAATTTAGTAAGTTTTCTCACGGTTTCTCAGACCAACTTGTTAGGAAAAAGTTTTTTTTTGGGAAATTAGGGGGTTACTGATACAATATTACCATCAGTAAAAAACACGTCTAGAAAAACTTCATAAGAAAAGAATAAAGAAAAAAATATAGTTTTATACAAAGCGCTTGAAAAATTACAGAGAGTTGCAATCGATTACAACAAACTGAGTCGTCATAACAAGCCGAAAACTTTTAACAGACTGCATCCTCTGGACTTTTTCTCAAAGGCAGCAGCAGAAAATTGAAAAAAAAATTGCTTCATTTATTTTGTTCTTCCTGTTAGTTGCAGAAGCGATCACCAGCTTGTTCTATTGTCTATGACGCAACAGGGCAACAACTTGCTGCAAAGAAAACTTCGCATGTAGTAATCTAGCTAAATTTGGAAAACAAGCGCCGTAATTCAACATTTAATCGGTAGCCAAAATACCTCGGTTAGAGTCGTAGATACCGGATCTCTGCGATTCGAGCGAAAAACGAAACGAGCAGCTGCAATCTGACCGCGCTGATGTTTATAAATCTGACCAGAAGTCAAACCAGATCAGATGTTGTTACATTAATCAATTGCACATGCCACAAAAGTCATTTTTGTAAATACAGCTCTGCCAGATGAAGTTTTCTTCAAAACATTGAATAATACAGATCTTTAGCCGAAATCTTGGCTTTTAAAAAAAACTGCTCGAAGTATAACAAAGCGCAATCCAGCCATTCAAATTATATTTTCCATCTTTTGTTTTATACCAACGTAAAAGCTTCCTAATAATTTTTGTGTTTCAGACAACTAATTTTCAAGATTGTAGTCTAAAAACTGTTGAGGTTTCTTTTTTAATTTGCAAAGACCAATTTAAAATGAGCGTTCTGAGCTACTTTCATAGCAACGGTTCTGTTCTTTTAAGAGTGAATTATGTTTTTTAGGATGAAAGTACTTATACTGTTTACACGCGTTGATCAAAAATGCTAGTCATGCTATTTCACATAAGGAAAAATGTTAGTCATACGTTTTTCATGCAATTCCATTAAAACAGAAAAGTGCAAGAAACGTCTATGATTAGTGATTTTCCATTTATGTAAATTGTATGACTAGCATTTTTCCATAAGCCAAGAAAAAATGATTTTTGTTTTAAAATTCAATTTTTCGAAATTTTGGGATGTGTTCCTGAACGAACACAAGTGACAAAAGCCATGGTTTATTCGAGGCGAGAGTCACCAAAGATTTTGTTGTCTTGTACTTACAATATATTGGAAACGAACTGAAAGATATAAGAGTTTTCAAAGACAAATCGTATACTGGAAGCATACTGGAACTTTTAATTTTTGGCAAAATTTTTCCAGATGGTGGTTTTTTATTTTTCAAATTTTCATATTATCAGGCAATGATCCAGGCATAAATAAACATGCCATACAAAAAAATAGGAGTTTTAGCTTTTGAAAAAAAGTATTCAGAGAAACGGAAAATAACATCTAATTTTTGTGTATTCAGGACTACGTTATGCACAAAAAATTTAAATTTTGCATGCAAAAAATTTTTTTGGAAAATGTTTGTTTAAGTACAAAATTCGATTTGTGGTTGAAAGAAACAAAAAATTTTTGAAGGCAAATTAAAAATAACTCGCCATCAAAAAATGCTATTCTTACAATTTCCATGTTTGGAAATTGTATGATTAGCAATTTTTTGACAAAAAGTTTTTCTTTTTTAATTAGTGTGATACACCGGCTTTTATGTCAAAACAAGAAAAAAAAGTTCTTTGAAATTTTGATGACACCAATTTAGGAAAATGTATGAAATTTGTATGACTAGTAATTTTTCATAGACCTAGTTTATGGAATTGTTTGATTAGCATTTTTGGTCTATGGAGGTGATTCCGGGTATCTAACAACTATTTTGATGTTGAAACTTACCCGCACTGAGAGAAATGGTTTCCTGTCGATTTAAATTGATTTTAAATCGATTTTAAATCGATCGAAATTGATTAACTATGTACATTTTAAGAACTTAAATGCATTTAAAATCGATTTAAATCAATCTTTTTGAAAATCGATTTAAGTGTCTAAAAAATCAATTTAAATCGATTTCGATGGATTTTCCGACTCACTAAAATCCAACCGAATCTCACTTAAATCCATCAAAATCTCACTTAAATCCATTTTAAATCGATTTAAATCGATCTTTTTGAAAATTTTAAATCAATTTAAGTGTCTAAAAAACCGATTTAAATCGATTTCGATGGATTTTACGACACACTAAAATTGATTTTTTTGTTAACACGGCGAAAAATACATACCCTTTGAAAAAGTGGTTGGAATTTTTTTTTCTGGTGAAAAGTGGTTGGAATGTTTCAGTTTTTTAAACAGAAACACTCGTGCCAGATAAAATGATCCACATAAATCAGGTTTTAAACTCAAAAATTTGCAATAAAATCATAGAAAACTATTTAAATCAGATTATGGGCAAAATTTTGTAACAAACCAGAAAAGGGTCAGGTAAAATTAAATTGCAATATCAATAATATGCAATAAAATCATAGAAAATCATGAAAGTAAATCAGATTTTAAGCAACAACTTATGAAACGAATCAAGAAAAGGGTCAATATAGATCAGTTTTTGAACTCAAAATATGCAAGAAAATCATTGAATTTTATCAATATTTTGGTCATTTTATTTGGTCTTTTTTATGCTACAATACGCTATGGATGTAAAATAAAAAATGATAGGCAAGAAATAAATGCAACAAAAATTTGAAACTGATAAAACCCGAATGAAAAAAATCGATTTACATTGATTTAAATCCGTTTTAATCCCCCTAGAAAAAAATTAAATTCAGACCTGGAAAAAGTGCATTTAAATTGATTTAAAATCGATTTTGATCTTTTTTTTTAGCTGGGATTTAAGATCAATTCAAATCGATTTTTAATCGACCCAAATCAATCTTCATCTTTTTTTTTTAATCTTCGTAATTTTTTATACTAAAATCGATTTAAATTGAACCAACGTACTTTTTCTATACTAAAATCAATTTAAGTTTTATCAACGTACTTATTTCATTCTAAAATCGATCCTAATCCATTTTTGTCAGTGCAGGTAACGCCTCAAACCGCTTTTCTTTGTTTTTGGAAAGGCTAGTTGATTTATTTAATGTTTATAGATCTTCAAACTTTTTTTTAACAATGGTAACTTTTAAATGCATCTGTCATCGCTCTATTTTTGCAATTTCAACTTTAATTGCTATAAATGTTATAACTTGTTATAACTTGTTATAACTTTCACGTGTATTTATTAAAATTGTGCTGCAAGAAAAGTTATTTATATGTGTTGAAATTCATAGTCAAATGTCTCTGACTTGGTATCCATCTTTTCTCAACCACACTGGAAGTTGACAAACGGGAACTCTTCGTTCTCCAAATCTGAAACAAGAATATAAGAGGTCAAAAAAGTTATAACATGTAAACTTTGACTCGTAAATTGACTTGGCTGTTCAATGTAATAAAAAAGAACTACATTTCGAGGGGATCAACAGATGCTCCGACCGTCTCGACCAAAATTTGACATTTTTGGACTTTCTTGAAAAAACATTGGTATATTTAGACTTTCACGACCCAAGAAAAGAGTTTTCGACTTTGATTGACCCAGTTCAAAAATTCCGAATTTCTCCCCGTGGCACAATTCGTTTTTTTCGACCCCGCATAGATATGTTTCGACATTCACGACCAAAATTGGGAATACTTCGACTGTGCTCGTCCTATGCTTCTGCCTTCTCGGACACAATCGGGTCTGTTTCCCTAAACAATGATTGAGTTCTTGCTTATAATTTCCGCTTTTGTTTTTCATTCTAGCTGAATCTTTTAATTTTTCTTTCTTATTACAGCTATAGCTGCTATTTGCTTACACTCTTTAGGCCGCCCTAGCCACTACTAATTGTTGAAACACCAATTGCGAGTTGAATGAATTATTTGCTAAAAAACAACGTGACCTACAGTTTTGCTGTGGAAACCGCGACCCTTTTTTTGTTTGGTCAGATTTTGTTCCACAATCGATTTGCTTGTGGGTTCACGTACAGCTTGGAATATGGACACGCTTTAAGGCCTACATATGGGTTTTGCAGACACACCAACGCGCCACACAGTGAATCTTGGAAAAGTACGGTTTGTTCTTGCAACCAAGAAAAGATTCAAACAAAATTGAGGCGAATAAACTACTCGGTACTAGACGATAAGTATATCTATCTGAACTTGACATTGCATGTGGGATGGGGGGGGGGGGGGGGTAAAACTTACTTGAGACTTAATTTTTTAATTGTTTCCGATGCGTCATAGATAAGTCAGCACACTAAGGTTTTTAATTGATACAAAAAGCTTAAAAGCTTTCATTTCTTGACAATGTATACTTCCCACAAAGTTCATCTATATTCGTTTCCTTAGAACTTCTCGTCAAGTAAGTTAGTGGTTTTCCTTTCGTACTTTTCTACATTCAGTGATTGAATCAAACACACAGATTTTGAGTCATCAGTCTTCCCATTACCATCTAATTGTCAAGGATAAATAACTTGATAAACCTTTAACTTTCCGTCTCCTGGAGCCCATAAGATTTGCAAGGATTTATTTAGGCCAACTAGCTTGCCTCTTTCAGTAGCGGATTTAGGGGGGGGGGGGCGGACGCCACCTTCCCTCCTCAGGAATTCGACCCCCTGCCGATCCAAAGGGTCCCTCCTTTGTACTACTTTGAGATATCCATATTTCGCTGACTGAACCTAAAATTTTTCTAAAGGCGCATTTGGCGCCAGTCTATACTAATTTTGAGGGGGAGCGCACGCCAAAAAAACAGCAAATTTTTTTTGTTCAACATTTTTGCTCAACAGAAAAATCAATTCGATTGACCTAAAAAAAAAAGGTCGACAAAACTTTCAAATTTTTTTTTGAAAATCCCCCCCTCGAAAAAATCCTAGATTCGCACCTGGCCTCATTCCACCTAAGTGTGATGTTCAATGTTGAATTGTTATTTTAGCTTGGATAATTTGTGCTGATGATTTGAGAGCCAAAGCTGATTTCCTGAATTACTGCGCTAGTATCAACGCAAAACAAAAAATGTTCAGATAGTTTTGTTAGGGTTCAAGCGAAGCTCTGAAAATTTTGAGTGCAAAATTGAGCTTCAAAAAATTCAATTAAATATTTCGACCGGAAAAGTATCGTTTAACACAATCAGCAGATTTTAATCCCCAATAAAAGTAACTAAAATAGAATTGAATACAAGAATCGACCTCGCAAATGCAAGGTGATTGCGATCACTCAGGGAGAAACACTGGTGTGTTCACGGAATGACCACAGTCACGTGGCATTCCGAGGCCGGTCAGACGCCAGAATGTTAGTGCATCAACTGAAGCAAGTTACCAAAGCTAAGCAGGTACCCGTCAAGAGCTGCATTAATGTGACTTGCCTTCAAAAAGTGTCCGATGGGAAAAACGCCCAATTGGTTTACTTTCGAGCTCTGCAATTAGCAGCCCTCAACCGACAGAAAACAAGTGACAGAGGTTTTTGCCCCGCCAATATTTGACAGGCACAAGAATTATGATTATTTTTGCCTATTTGATAGCGGGATTCTGAAAGTGACACGGTTAGTTAAAACAATGGAACAGATTGCTTCCTATTTTCAGAGAAGGCGGAAACTATAGGATGAAAAAGTCGCGAGCCCCTAATTGTTTTGACTTTATGGAATCATTCAAAGGAAGCATCTTCTGGCTTGATCCAGAGAGGAAATGCTGTAGAAGATGGCATCTTGGTTTTACTGCTCTGTTTTAGGGTATCCGTTTTTTTCATATACAATTGTTGACCAGGTAAAACTCGACGCTGCAAATCAAAATTGAATATCCTCAAAGCCGTGGGAGGAAAGAATGATCCTAATCAAAAACATCAAAAACCCAACTAAAAAATCACAAACTGTTTAAACAGCTTCAACAAAAATTCAATTGTAAAAAATCTAAAATCTATTGCTCAATGAGCCCATTTTAATTGTAAAAAGTGCAAGTTTTTTTTAATTGTCTAAGATTTCAATTCAAGTTCCTAGAGCAAAACGTTTTTGAGGTTCCCGGCATGCTAGAAAGCGAATATTTCTATTGCAGAAAATATCAAAAAAAATGCCTTCTCAAAGACACTCCCTGTACCGCCTTAGCTTGGCGCTGGGTTGTTTGTACTCCCTTTTTTGTTCAATCAATGAAATTTTTAGTCTTTTTTGAGCTGCAATTAAAACTTTGGACTTCGAGATGACTTGATCATTTGATCATTTCAGTTTAAAGAACATGCATTATCCACTAAGCGGCAGCAACTTGACTATCCTCGAATTTTGTTTGTTCAAGAAACAGCCACCATGCAAAATGATATAATCAGGTTAACTTTGTTGTTGGTTCAAGTTTTATACTCAGATAGTTTTTAAACAAGCAAATATTTCCTTGCTTTGATATATTATCCACGTGCTGCAAATTCTTTTGATCAAAAAATTATGGTTTTTTGCAGTATTGTCTGTTTCGTATTTTTCAAAGAGCTGGTTTAAGTTCGAAATATTTAATTTTTAGGAAAAAAATTGCTTGGGTAAATTGGTATGAAGTAAAGTGGAACATAGTGTACAAAAGTATAGATTAAAAGAGAATAGGGTAATTTGGAATGGAGTAAAGCGACATAGAACCGGCCAGGTTAGTTTTCGAGTGATTTTTCTTTAAAATTTGCCATAAATTGCTCGTTAAAGAGTCAACATTCGGCTCAAGAAAAAACCATCCAGAGCACAAATATTCTGACATATCCTTCGAAAATTGTCGGTAGAATGAATGCGATTGTTAAAACATTTTTTTTTGCCTCAAACTAGTTTTGAGTAAGATTAGGGTCGTTGTTACTTTCTGCCAGTGCTATGCGTTTTAATTTGATTAAAACGTGCATAAACTATCCCAAATTGGTTAAATTTTAAGGGGATTTAAAGTCACGTTTTAGAAGAATTTATTGCAACTGGAATTTTGCTTTCGATGTTCAATTCAGATCTCTGTGAAAAAAAAATTTCAAAAACTTTCATAAAAAGTATTGCTTAAACCGTTAAAAATTGCTTGATGAAAAACAACAACATGTACAATTTTTTTTCGAAATTTGGAACAAATACTAAACCAAGTCAGTCCACAAAAATGCTTTTAAGTTTTAAAATCGCCATACCGCTGAACATTTATTCATTGAGTTCAAAACAAAAATGCAATGATTCTTATTTGATTGATAATAGTTTTCCATTGGAAATTGATATTTCTGTCGTCGAAATTGGTCTGAATTCAAAAAACTACATCTGAAGGCTATTAAAAAAGTGGCATGATTAGATGGTTGAAAAAAAAGCTCAAAATGGGTGAAAAAAAGCGCATGATGTTTTTGATAGTTAGGCCTGTTTCCTTTAAAAACTGAAAAGAAAAAATTTATTTTGAAAAACATTCATTTTTTTTAAACTCAATGCAGAAAATATTTTGAAGTTTTTCATTATCAGAAAAGCTCTAAAAAATTCAAAATATCACATTTTGATCGCGCGCTGAAAAATCACATTTTTGTCAAAATTTCCCAAAAAGTGCCCAAAAACGCCGTTTTTTGGCCTGTTTTTTTATTAGGCAATTTGGTCGCCCTTTAAAAAACTAAGTTCGCAAATGGATCGCCAATACAAAAAAAACGGCGTTTTTGGGCACTTTTTGGAAAATTTTGACAAAAAACATGTGATTTTTCGGCGCGCTCCCCCTCAAAAAGTTTTATATTGGCGCCAAATGCATCTTAAGAACAATGATGATGTCGGTCAGCCAAAAATGGATATCGTAAAGTTATACCAAAGGTAGGACCCTTTGGAAAAATTTGGCAACCAGAAATAAGGGGGGATGGGCGGCACGCTACTGGATATATCACTCAACTCATTCCGATGAATATTTGTGAGGCCTGATTTTGCGTGGAAGAATGAAAAACTAAAGCACACCCGAACACAACGGTCCTCCCATTTTCTGGACGGAACAAAAAGAAAAACGAACGGAAACCAGGCGTGTGATTACAACTAACCAGCTAGTTGTAGTATGTTTGTGGGCAGTTGCAGTGTGGTGGCTGCCCTCTGGTTGTTCATGTAGTTCTGCACCGACAGCTGCCACCTGCCTGCCCAGAAGTCCACATTGTCCCTCGTCACATTCTTCATGAAGAACACCAGCTTGTCCTGGATGTCTCTACACAACACAACAATCACATACTCTTATGAATATGGAGAACAGTTGAATGAGCAAATAGTAATTTCATATGCACTTAATAGCATTCGAGTATTTAATGGAAACAAATAAATTGGTTTCCTTCTTACTATTAAGTATTGTTACGCAGGGGCGGATCTAGGATTTTCTCGAGGGGGGGGCGGATTTTCGAAAAATTTTTCAAAATTTTGACGACCTTTTTTTTTTTTTTTTAGGTCGACCAAATTGATTTTTCGAGCTCTCCCAAAGCACTGTTTTGCGCCTATTTTGGCAAAATTTTCTGCGCCGCAGGCAAATTTTTGAAAAAACAGTCAAAAAAGCCGTTTTTGGGCACTTTTTGAAAAATTTTGACAAAAAAATTGCGTTTTTTTTGGCGCGCGCTCCCCCTCAAAGTTAGTATATATTGGCGCCAAAGGCGCCTTTAGAAAAATTTTAGGGTCGGTCCGCCAAAAATGGATTTCTGAAAAAGTATCAAAGGGGGGACCCTTTAGGTCGGCAGGGGGTCGAATCCCTGAGGGGGGGGCGTCCGCCCCCCCCCCCCCCGCCCCCCCTCTAAATCCGCCCCTGTTGTTACGTATTTAATTATTTTATAACATGATGTTTTTAAGGCGTCTCTGACTTTCACGATGAATTCAAAATTATTAAACAAAACAAAAAACAAGAACAAATGTGAAACAAGGATAGCCGGTTACTGTGAAAGTAGCCTAGAATGTTCTGACCACAGTTTTAAAAAAATACAAGAAAAATTTTTTTCAAATTGGTGTCCTTTTTTTCTGCTGAAAAATGTCTAGAAAAACGAAAAAAAAATTGAAAAATTGTTTTCAAGTTTTTGCAGAAATGTTTTGAATTCTCAATTTTAGATTCCCAAAATTGCGCTAAAAAAACTCCAAAAAATACCTTTACCTGATAAAAACTAAATTTTCACAGCTTAAATTAAGCTTAAATATGCTACACGGTCACCTTATTAACTCGAAATTAGACCAAAAATCTAAAATTTCAAACCAGTTTTTCTCGACACTGTGAAAAAAAAATTAAAGTTTTTCAAATGTCGTTCGAATCACGACTGAAAGGGCTTCAATATGATATATCACTCAACCCACTCCGATGACTGTTTGTGGTACCTGATTTTGCGTGGAAAACAAAAAACTAAAACACGCCCAAATTCAAAGTTCCTCCCCATTTTCAATGGGCGGAACAAAAACACAAAGGGTTGAATATTAAGCCAAATACTAAGTGAATTGCAAGAAGAGATTTATGAGAACTAAAGTTGATCTATTGAGACTACTTAAGACCCGCAAGCTTTTTCGTTTCTGATAAAAGATGTTAGTGATATATTTTCAAAAGTGATTTTTCAAGTCAGGTTTTTAAGAATTTGAATGCCAGATCATCTGTCATGGAATTCTCAGTCCTATGAAGTCATGACAGTTTGTGGACTCAGACGCGACCATTTATTACCAAATTGATACTATAAATACCTGCGAGCTATTCTGGTTTACTGAAAACTTTTTGTACAACTTTGTTCAACTGCAGGCGTTCATTTTTTCTTGTTTTATAAAACATTACGTTATGATTCTTTAAGCTAGCAAAACTAGCTTAAGTTAGCTACATTTAGCCGTCAGGATCTTTACCTGCTGCTTGTTTACGATAACATCTAAATTTAACTAGAAAAACCGAAATAAAACAAACGCCAACTCGATTTTGCTAAGTTCCTCCAAAATTAACTGAATTTTTGAATTTTTGAATAACCTGAATTTTTCTTTAAAAAAATAAATTACTCACAGATTCAGATGATCGGCACAAGTTGACGCTTGAATTGGGCAGCTTTCCTTGCATATAAAAGCACACTCCCCTCCCCCATCCTGCAGGAACTCGATGAATTTCGTGTTCTGCGCTAGCAAGGGGGGACTGATTTCATACCGTACAATCACACAATACGATCCGTCTTGCTGAATGTATGCTTTGGGGTAGGGGTACACTTCCTTCATTTCTGCTGAAAATGCCTCCAGCTGCTGAATCTGGAGCAGTGACGTCAGCAAAACAATCGTGATGATTAAGTCTAAAAGCGTACACATTTTTCTTGTTTTCTGATATTTTATGGAGATTTATAGAGCCTAAGTAATTCGCATATTATATTAAGAAGTAAAAAGTCTCCAAATCTGACCAAAATTGAGTCCGACTAATTAATTTGAGCCATATGCAGTAATATACTCACATTTCATTTCGAACTCAATTGATTTAAGGCGTGCTTCGTCTGTTTTCTGCAAAGATTTTGTCTTGTGTGATGGTGTGGTGCGCTGATAACAACAATTTATCTTATGATTCGTGTATCAATCGGACCTTGCATCAGGTTTAGTTCAAGCTTTGAAGACAAATGTAAAATTACACTCGTATGAAATCCTTCGAACAGATTCTTTGAACAGGGTTGCAAATTAAAACAAAATTCTGCGCTATTCGACAACTTCAAAGTTTCTCAATGATGCCAGAATTTGATCTTGCATCAAAAACCAACGGGTCCATGGCCTCCCTTAAACCCTCGAATTTTTCAATATGCGTACTCCGCGATTATAAAAACTTACTTTAGCGCGCGCCGGCAAAACGCAATATAATTTTCACGACATTCCGAAAAAACTGACCGGAGGGTCTGTTTGGTTTCAAGAAAGACTTTACAAAAGGAAAAAATGCGACATAGTTCTTAACTTTATGTTTGAACATCATTCCCCCATAATCAATGCTAGCTCCATAAAAACGCTCAGTAACTGACTAAAAATGGCCGCACGACCAAAACTTCGGAACGTATCCGCGTTAAATTTGACCTTCTTGGCTTTCGTCAGAATTTGACAGCAAACCTATGTTAAAACTAAGTTTCTTGCAAAGTCGTGTTGAGTATGGCTCGTTGTCGTTTTTGTTCCGACTTTCGATACGAAAGTAACGGAATATTTGTGCTCGGGTGGTTTTTTTTTTTCTTCAGACAAATTTCGACTTTTTAACTAGCCATTTTTGACAGAATTATTTGATATCATTCGAAAGCTATTGTTGTCTTGAGCTCAAATTTGAAAAGATATTTCACCTGTGATCATTTTTCGTAAAGTTATGAGGGTTTAAAGATTGCCATTTTGGCCATTTTGACCAATTTGGGACAATTAAAGCGCGATATAATTCGCGCTATTAATGTGTAAGCGGAGATTTAATCCGTCTTAGAAAATGTTCCAAATTGGTTGAACCAAGCTTATTTACCATAATTGATTTGTTACAAGGAACGAAATCTATCCTTTTGTACTTTATATGGCGTGTGGGGGGATGATTTCATAAAAAATTTCAAATTTTAGAAAAAAAAATTTAATTTTTTTTATTTCATTTAAATTTTTGTTATTACTGCTGCTCCATAAACCATAAAAGGCAGTCGGAACATTCAGGGCTTCGCCCTGATACGAGCAGTCTTGTTGTATTTTACAACAAGATTGGATCTCATCGTGAAATTTTGCACCTTGCCAGTTATTGTTCCGACTTTCGATACGAAAGTAACGGAATATTTGTGCTCGGGGTGGGTTTTTATATCATTCAAAAGGTATTGTTGTCCTGGGCTTAAATTTGAAAAGATATTCCACCTGTGATTATTTTCCGTAAAGTTATGAGGGTTTGAAAACTGCCATTTTGGCCGTTTTGACCAATTTGGGACAATTAACGCGCGATATAATTCGCGCTATTAACGCGTAAGCGGAGATTTAATCCGTCTTAGAAAATGTTCCAAATTGGTTGAAGGAAGCTTATTTACCATAATTGATTTGTTACAAGGAACGAAATCTATCCTTTTGTACTTTATATGGCGTGTGGGGGGATGATTTTCATAAAAAATTTCAAATTTTAGAAGAAAAAGATTCATTTTATTTTATTTCGTTTAATTCTGATATGTTATTACTGCTCCATAAACCTTAAAAGGCAGTCGGAACATTCAGGGCTTCGCCCTGATACGAGCAGTCTTGTTTTGTCATTTATAAACAGTATTTCGTATTCTTCCAAGCAACACACTGTTTATATAAAAATTCTCATCTTCAATTTCGACTGGGCTCAGTGCAAGGAATAATAGTTTTCCTTGACCTTTCGACTACACGCAAGCCAATCAGAATCGAGACAAAAAAAGTCGTACCGTTTGCTTACTGATCTTGATTTTGATTGGCTTCGTTTTTGATGGTCTTTCTGACATGTCTTCTTTTTGACTGCGCTCCATTAAAACAAACTGTTATATTTTCGATATGATACCGAAACTATTGTCATAGTCTTACCCGAACATCCATGAAAGAAGAACCATAAATTGGGAGCACATCAAATAGGCTCATCAATCTATCGAGTAATGCATCCTGAAAAAATTTAGATTTCCAGTTTCCCCGAAACAAATGTCGGCTTACACGAAAGTAACGGCCATATGTACTTAGCACCGTCATTCTGCTGCGCTGATGGAACTTTAGTGTTAAACTGACCAATTTGTTTATGTTTTTCACCTGTATTTTGATGTTCAGATCCAAGTTTGAAGTTCAAATATCAAAAACACTTTGAAAGTTTCAACCAAAAGTCAAAAAATGCCAAAAGTAGTCGTGTTTTTTCCATCAAAGTTGTCCTACAAAAAAGTGCTCATAATTTGTTTAGTTTTGGCAATACATAGAAGAAGATAGCAATATAAAAAACTGGTGTAATTTTGAAAAAAAAAGACGGGCGCTAGCGAGAGTCGAAACAAAAATTCAGAGACAAATATTCGTTTGAGAAAGATTCACTTGACAAATGACGCACTAAATTAGACAGCAGAGCTTGCAAAATTTTTGAAAGAGGAGATTCACCATGTACAAAAAGACTGCTCGTATCAGGGCAAAGCCCTGAGTTTTGTGACTGCCTACTAACTGGTCTCGAATGGTTTTTGCGGAATGAAAAATTGACAAACTCTGAATTTTAGATGGATAAATCAAAGTTCAAGTATTAAAATTTGAGTCGTGCGTGCAAACAAAAAAAAACAGATAGTGAGCCTCATCTCAACTTGTAACCATTTTGGGGGCTCGTTAATTCGCCACTCCTAAATAAAGCGCGTTATGTTTTCAGCATCAAAATATATAACGAGCAGTTTAGTTACACAGCGATGGTAGTGTCAGTTAAGTATAAAAGTGAGCAGGAACTTTCTGTGTTTACAATGATCCATTTTATTTCTCATTTTAATGGAAAAACAAACTAGGGCACCTAATCACTGATCAGACATTGTTGCTGTGAGCTATAGTCTTAAAAAAAGCAAAAATTTTTCAGCAATTGCAGTGGACACTCATCTTGTTATCAAAATGTGGAGCAAGAAAATTATTTAACGCAAAAAAAGGACAGAGGAGCCATCGAAATTTTAGGCAATAGTTCTTGGTGGATCTGAAATGTCTACATTTTTCATTGATTCACCAAGCGTGCATAATATTTTTGAAGAGCTTGTAGTTCCGTATCAGGAGTCAATGCATGTGTGCGACTGAACTGATACTCTGACTTATTCAAAACAAGATATAAACTCAGACATCTTTCGGCGAAAATTTGAAAAGACGAAAATTGATTGAGTTTTATAGAAAGGGCGTTGTGCTCTGAAAACTTTGATACGCTGTGCGTCACATTTTTTCGTACCATCTTAATACATGTAATTTCATCAATTGAACGCAAAAGTGTGCCAAATGTTTTCGTACCACTTCAGAAATATTCAAAACAAAGTCAGAAAGAAACTTTATTTCCATTTCCCGTAACACACGATAAGAAACAACTATGCAACGATGAATATAGACATTAACATATTCAGAAAGATGAGATTTCTTGTGGTCCACGGCTTTAAAAACTCTTTCTTCCAGTTCTTGTTTGTTTTTCGGTTGCGGACCATCATAAACCCTTAAACTCAACATGCTCCAAACGTTTTCTATAATGTTGAGGTCCGGGCTCCTGCTGGGCCAAGGTAGAAGCTCAATTCGTGCCTCCTCAAAACAGTCCAAACTTTTTTTGAAACATGAATGCTGCCATTGTCTTGCTGCAGATCGAAACCATCGGGGAGAATGTCTCTCATTAAATGGATGGCAGTGTTTTTCATAAGCTATGTAGGTGTCTGAATTTATTCGACCAGATACCGTTTTAACAAAAATGTCGAAAAAGTCATAACCCAGACCATTAAGAAACCTCCACAACATTGACGTTTTTTGAGGTAAACTTGATGATTTTCCTCCATCCAAGAACACCAGTTGAGGGGCCCGTCTAGGTTAAAAAAATTTTTATCCGTAAATACGACTTCATCCCAGTTTTTTGGTGTAGTCAACCATTCAGTGAAGAGGCGTACTCGGTTTTTTTTTCTGTTTTTTGGTCAAAATTATTGTGAAATTTGCATTTTTGTTAATATGTTACATTCATGATAAAGCCCAATGAACCGTTCTTCTGCTGATATTGAGGGCTATCTCCCTTAGGATTTTTGAGGCTGTCAGTAGAGCAATGCATCGCTTTATACACAGTTTTTTGGAGCCAACGGCCACATGCTTGCGTCCCCTTTTTGCTTTCACTCTTGAGTAGTCATTCTTGGCCATATACTGCACTGTTGATCTTGGTAACTTCAGTCCTCAAGTTAGGACAGGTAGCTGCTATATCAATCGTGAACAGAATCAATCATTTGCGCGCAGTTCTTGACAATTTTCAACAAAAACCATGGGGTACGAAAAATTTGGCCAATTTTTGTCTTTCAACAATTGTTTACCACGTATTAAGATGGTAGGAAAAATTATGACGCAGATTGTATGAGCTCGGTAATGAGATAGTTAATAATCTTAATTTTTTTGCCGTTAGCGATCAAACGAAGTAGGCATATTTACGACTATGATCTTGGTAGTTGATTGAGGATAATTTTTTCCCCAAAAACTTCAGCGGCCTTGGATCATCTATGCTTACTTTAGCGCTCTAAAAAATTGCTCTCCTTGGCTTTTAATTTTAAGAAAGAAGCAAGTCTACTTGTATTTAAGGGCAAGCCTTGAGTGTTAAGATTGCCGTTTTATCGGTATCGAATAGCTGTTGGCAAAGTCCAAAGTGATCAATTAATTTCCATTACTTTCTTATAGTGTTGTCATTTCTCAGACTTCGTTAATTTTCGGACCGATTAACCAATTAAGTTCAATTTTTTCCCTAAAAAAACTGTTTCTCTGCTATAGCTTGCCCCAATCAGAGTTTTAATGATTTGAGATGGCTTAGCTTGTTGGCTGCCTACGAGCTGCGCACGGGGAAAAAGCACTTTTGAATAGTGTCATTGTGAACTTTCAAATACCCATAAGGTAACCAGCAATTATTGCAGGTGAAAACATTTTTGATTGCTATTAAATTTTTTCCTCTATCTTAATTCTCCATCATTTTACCTTAAATTTGTTTCTCAAAAACCCATTTTAAGAAAAAATCTTTACGATTAAAATTGTGCATCTATTAAAACTGATATTGGATATAAATCACATCAATGAAGTTTTGGTGAAGAAGGAAGTTTAAGGTTATTTGAGTCAGTGTTAAAAGTATATATATATATTCGTTTTTCTGAACTATTCATTTGCAGACCAACTCGCACAAGTACCGCATTCTCACTTGGCTCTCTTTGTAAACCAAGTATTCGCTGTAGCCGAATGAAGTGTTTATACAATCCTGTTTCGGCTTCCCAATTGGGACTATGATGTCACAATCGTCAAATTTAAGCTTCTCGTCAAACTTCGGGTCCGGCTCCTGTCTGCCTTTGGCCAGTACACTGTCGTAGCCGGGAGGCGCTGCAGTTAGAGATGTGTCAATCTGGTAGATCTCTTTCTGTTTTCCAAGAACCACTTCATTCAGAAACATAAAGCTACAAAAAAGAGCTTTGTTCAAGTTGTTAACTAGCAAAGCAAAACTAGTATGCCGACTTTATGAAACTCCACGAAAAAGATGTAATTAAATTCGCGCAAATTTTACATATGAAATGCAGCAGCAAATTGTGAAAAAAAAACAATCAAAATTGAGTGACCAAATATCACAACATTGAAAACAACATCTTATCGTTGCTCAAGGGCTGTTGTTTAAATTCCACCTCCGGAATACCTGAAACTAGGTTGCCTCAAAAAATTATGCTTTTCAAACCAAACCTACAATCGGGAGTATTTTCCTCTTAAAAGTGGCTATTTGAGGACAAGTGTTGTTGAACTTAATCTAACCCCACGTGGTTGCTGGTTCGTCCCGTGTAGCAGTAGGATTTGGCGTGGGCGCTTGCAAAGTAGATTCCCTTGCCCACTAGTCCTCCAGAGTGCGGCATGATCCTCAGTCCCGACTTGAGAATAGCTGCCACCACTGCAGGCGAGGTACCGTGCCACAGCAGCTTGCGAAACTTCACGTTTTTGTGCTTCTAAAAAAAACGAAATTTCCTGCGCTCAAGTTTGAAAAGATGTTTCACCTGTGAACTTTTTTCATAAAGTTATGGGCGTTTAAAGATTGGCTGTTTGCCCAATTTGGGACAAATTAAAGCGCGATTTACTTCGCGCTACCAAAGCGTTAAGCAGATGCGGGGGCGGACGCTCTCCTCCCCCCTCAAGGATTCGACCGCCTGCCGACCCAAAGTGTCTATGATTTCACAACCGTCAAATTTGAGCTTCTCGTCAAACTATATCCATTTTTGGCTGATGGACCTCAATCGGCGCCAATATATACTAACTTTGATGGGGAACCCGCGACAAAAAAATGCAATTTTTTTGTCAAAAGTTTCCAAGAAGTGCCCAAAAACGGCTTTTTTTGACATGTTTTTGAAAAGATTACCTGCGGCGCACGAAAATTTGAGCAAAACAGCGTCTTTTTAGTGCTTTGGGAGAGCTGGGAAAATCAAATTGTTCTTACCTAAAAAATAGGTCGACAAAATTTTCGAAATTTTTTTGAAAATCTGCCCCCCTCGAGAAAATCCTAGATCCGCCCCTGCGCATAAGCGCAGTTTTGATCAGCCTTAGAATTGGTTAGAGCTGACTATTTGTCCAAAATTTTTTATTTTTCTTTTCATTGTTTTCAAATAATTCATCGATATTTTACAGCAAACACTGCTCCCATAGACCTTGAGAAGCAGTCGGAACACGGAAAATTTAGAGCTAGCCCCCGATTTGAGCAGTCATGTAGCTTTCAGGCGCTTTATACGTCTGGAACCCAAAAATGCTGGAACATAAACATGTGCTGGTTTTCTCTGTACTACTAGTTCTTTATGGCTGAACTTTGATATATTTATGATAGATAAAACTATATAAAAAACGTGGCCGGATCACAAATTTAAACGCGTTTATTGAAGACATTTGGTCATTCATTTGAAGTTGTAAGTTCTGGGTTCCGAAGAAACCTCGTAAACAACCAGAAGGGTATGATCAATTGAACTCTTAACTGTTCCTTGCAAATTAAATCTGTTTGCTTGGCGATCATATAAGTTTCTCTCAAAAATAAAAAAAAAGCTCGAACATTTTTTTGACTCTCGGCACCCAGAAAACCTAAATAATTATTCAGAAATATGGCTTTGAGATTGACTCACTCTATATGGCTTTGAATAAGATTGGTTAGCTGTAGTTGGAGGAAAACAGCGAAAAACAATAATTGACTGCGATTAAATGCCATACAATGGTGTTAATATTCTCCTGACTAACCACGAAAAATTATATGATAACGAAACACAAAATAAGAAATACCCAGCCAAACTTGAAATGGTAAACTTTCCTGGAAAGTTTTTTCAAACTTAAATAATATGGAAATTATTTTCAAGTTCGAACCGGATAAATACCGACTAAATTTTTCTCAATTAATGATGGCAAAAGCATGAAGTTAATTGGAAAACTCAAAAAAGTGTTTATGGTATCAAAAGTATTCAAGAAGTTTTCTATCTGTTAAGTGTGAGTGAAAGCAGGCAAAGTACGTTGCTATGAAAAAAAAATGTGTGCTTTTTTCATTTTTGTGTTTTTTCACCTGAATTCTGGCGTCCTCGCCAACCCTGTCAATTTGGAACAGATTCCTTAGCTTCGGAACATGGCCTGGACCTGTGTTATTAAGGAATGTCTCCACCACTTTGAACTCCTTTGAACTCGGCTGCACTTTCTTCACCGTGCACCCTAATGACTCATACTTGGCCTCCATCGGGTGTTTTTCGCCCTTTTTCTTCTCCTGTGCTTTCTTCATCTCTTGCGCTTCCTGGATGTCTCCTGAAATTTTCGTTTTATTTATTTTTTCTTACTGAGTTAAAGGCGTCTTTATTAATCACAGAAAAAAGTTTTCAAGACAGAAAGTTTTGTCAAGACAAACAAAAAGAGCTCATAGTAGTTCAGAAACCGAAGAAATTGAGATTATCATTTCGATTTGCTTGGACCTAAAAGTTTTTTTGAAATTCATTCTAATTAATTTAGCTTAAAATGATACGTGGCTTATGACATAATAAACCCAATAACAGTAATCTCTCTCACCTAATACTAGGAGCATGTCCAGTTTTTCCCTCAGCTGTTCTCTTGTGCTAATCACTGGGGGCACCTGTCGGCCGAAGTCATGTGGAATGACTGTGAAGAAGTCACTGGACAGCTGCTTCAACACTACACTATTAGCCTTCTTCTTCAGGGCTGCGTCTATTTTGTCTGCAAAATGAAAAATTATACTTCAAAAAAACTACTAAGAGATGTCTGAAAAAGTCTAGTAAAAATGACTGCAAGAATTTGTTTCATTTTCCGAATTGAAATCTAGGTTTCAACTCGCTGTAATCAAAAAACAAAGAGCTAGAATCAGGGGAGGCAGGATGGGCTGACTCAGATTCCCCCTCGAGACCCCTTCCATCACACCTCAGGGATTCGACCCCTCATCGCCCAAAGGGCTCCCCCTTTGGTACAGTTTTACGACTTCCATTTTGGTTCGAACGAACCTGAAAATTTTTTAAGACACCTTGGGCGGAAATATATACAAGTTTGCAAAACATGGCCTTTGCAGTGTTTTCGGAGAGCAGTGTTTGCAAGGTTTTCAATATGACTATACTTGAAGAAGTGCGATAATGCATTTGGTTCACTCAAAAAGTTACCTAGTGCCTCGAATCCTTTGGCAATCTGCTGCTTGCTTAATTTTCCTAGAGGCATTCTTGTCACATTCAGATTCATCTTTGTCATCTGATGCTTAAACATGTCATTGTCGAAGATCTGTTCCAGAAGCGACTGAACTTCTTTGTCGAGGCCGCAGCTGCCATTCTTAAATGAAACACTGAATAAAACAATCACATGCTTGGTAAAAATGAATGGAATTTTTAGAAATATTGTAAAAGTACACAAACAAAAAAAATCAGCTCATCGGAATCACAAATAACAAATCGAGGATTTTGACATGTTTTTTTTTGATGAACCGATTAAAAACGTGAAATTAATAATGTAAATTGTCCGAATATCTAATACATGAGCCCCCTTTCCGGCATCTTTTCCTTTCGGAGTCTTCTCTTCTGTTTCTTCCTCTTCCTCGTCTTCCTCTTCATCGCCCATTTCCAGCAGAGCATACTTCCCAGCCATTGCCTGGAATTTGTCCCTGTTCGCCCAATTGTTCCTGGTTTTGTCCAGGAACTTCTTCTCGAAATTCTTCACCGCATCTTCTAAATTAGAAAAAGGCCCGTGCAGCTGGTTTGCTCCGACTTCCCCAACTCTACCCCATCTGAAACAAATATTTAAGGGCAAATTAGAAATACTTAGAAAAAAGGAAAAAAACAATTCGATTAAAAACATAGATTGATTTTAGCTGAAACTGTTTATAAAAAAAACTGGGATGCTCTGAGCTAAACTCATTTGCACTCAAGTCATAGGCAACATAAAACACTTAGAAAGGTTCTAAATCTGCGAATAACCTATCAAGTTTAACTGCTCAAGAGCATCTCAATACTTGCAAAATTTAGGGGACTTGACCAGTATCTGAATTTACACTGAAACACCTTACGTCTCAGTTTCAGTATTTCCCGCAAGCCATTTTTTAATTTTGTCGACCTTTTTTTTAGGACGACCAAAACACTGTTTTGACCCTATTTTGGATAAATTTTGTGCGCCGCAGGCAAAATTTTGAAAAAACAGGCCAAAAGCCAAAAACGGCTTTTTAGGCACTTTTTGGAAAAAATTTTTAACAGAAAATTGCGTTTTTTCGGCGCACGCTCCCCCTCAAAATAAGTATACATTGGCGCCAAAGGCGCCTTTTGAAAAATTTTAGGGTTAATCACCAAAAATGGATATCTCAAAATAGTACAAAGGGGGGACCCTTTGGGTCGGCATTGGGTCGAATCCCTGAGGGGGGGGGGGGGGTAGGGAAAGCGTCCGCCCTTCCTAAATCCGCCCCTGTTTGTGCTTATGAACTGATGAGGCTTCAATCAACATTTGTTTTTTCTTCGATGTCAAAAAAAGTTACAAACCTGTTCCATACGAAAAACAATTGGTTCTTGTTGTTCGTTGTTTTCAGCAGTTGTATGACGTAGTACTTGTTGTTATTGTGGCCTATATTGGTCTGATTCAACATGCAGTCATAATCTTCATGCACTTCTAGATTGTATGAACAGATCACGTGTTTGTCCACGGCTCTTTTCTTCCTTTCCTGTTTTTTCTTCCCCTGCAGGGCTTTGGTGGCTGCTGCTATGTTTAACTTCACACTGTCTTGTTTGACTATTTTGGCAGGCTTAGGTGCTGCTGATTTTTTACCTGACGCTTTTCGTTTGGGCGGCATGATAATTATTCTGGTATGCGGCAGAAAAAAAGCTTAAGATTGAGGCGGAGAAAAAATTATGCAAAAGCTCGTTGATAAGCTATGTGTATTGATCTGTAAGACACGTTCTTTTTTAAATGTAAAAAGTATCGTTTCACGCACGTTATAAGGCTTATTGACTGACAAACGTTTATAACATAAGAAAAAATTATAGCAAAAAAAACAATGTTTGCATAGTGTTAACCTCCTGCATCATGCGTTTCCTTGAAGGTAAAATTCTGAATTACAAGCAATCAAAAGCAAAACAAATGCAAAAGAACATTTACATTTTTGTGATATACCTGAAAATGATTAACAACTTACATGTCACAATGAGCTGAACATTAAGTAAATCACTGAATGATTGGCAAATGTTTATTGGTATAGTAAAACAACAAAAGTGTACGTATGTTTACGTATGTTTACTGTCAGAATACTCACCTCTAACGGATGACTCAGTATCATTGGTAGATATTCGTCTATAACTCACCGTGCTTGAGAAGGGCAAGATATTTAACTCAGTTTCGAGGGCCATGATACGATCCGATGAATAATCGAGTTAATCAAATGAAAAATGGTTCGTTTTTTTTTCTCGAAGTAACTGTTTTTTTTTAAACTTTGATGAGTTCTTTTAAAATTTGAATTTTCTATTATCGCAACCTTCTTTGGGAGTTTTTTAATGATTAATGATGGCCTTAATTTAATTGAAGGCTCTCATCAATCATTAAGAAAAAAAGGTTTCGAAAGAAGGTTCCAATAATAGAGAAAGCCAATTAATTTAGAAGAACTCATCACAGTTAGAAAACCCAGTTGAGAATATGCGTTTATCAATTTTCAAAGATATCAAAGATATCAAAAAAAAATACATCACGGTAAAAAATTTTGAATTTTAGGAAATATGTGAGATTGATTTTATTTCTTAAAGCTATCCCATTTAGAAAACAACGTACCATTAGATACACAATTTTTATTGCGCTTCGAATTCAGAAAAGTGAAGTCCATCTGTAACACTTCGATTCGATCTCGTTTTTTATATTTTTGCCATTTTGCTATTCGATAAAGGCATTTTCCTTCCTTTCATCAAAGAAAATAAACCGCAAAAAATTAATTTTGAGCGTAAAATTGATTTAAGACTTCTAAAACAAATCATCAAGAACTATATAAATGAAAATCACTTTTTTTTGTAAATTTGAAAACTAGTAGGGAACGAACCATGTTCTTATTTTCGGCGTTAATGTATTGATGTAACAAAGCTGATTCATCAGTGACTTAGCGCTCGTTTGGTGCTGTAACGGCCCTGAATCAGAACTGAGTCATCAATAGTCCATGGTTACTATATCATTGATTCATCAGTAATTTTGATGGTATTTGAATCGCTCAGTCAGAGCTTAATCAACGCTGATTAGCTTCAACCTATGCATCAAGAACAATTCATCGTTGAGTTTTACTGAGATTTCAACCCGGGTCAAATTCCCTTCATCTTTTTTCAAATAAAAATTAGTAGAATTGCGATCATTTTTGGGTTGCCTGGTATTTTTTTTACTGGTTATATACATTTGTTTCTGTTGGTTTCTAGGTTATGGGTAGAAAAGACTACCCGAGAAAACAAAAATAAATAAATTTTTTATGGAGAAGGGTTTAAAGGTGTGAGTAAAGAGGTGTACGTGTAAAAAACGATTACCGGTAGAACGGTCCATTGTAATGGATCTAAGACATTAACTAATTTGTTTGTTGTCCGCTTAATAAGACATCCGTACTGGCTTGTTGGTGTTTTCTCAAACTATTCCAATTTGTATTTGTAAAATTTTTTAAATAACTCTGTAACTAGATATCGTGTGTAGACGATTTATTTTTATGATTATTATTATTACTCACTCCAAGACCAACTTTTTGTTATAAAAATATGAAATAAATCAATGAAACTAAAAAAAATTCGTACAAATCCAAAAATAGAATTTTCAACTTTGAGTCAATTCTAAATTTTTATGTCCTGATCTATGTCTAGTTTTTGTCCAAAGAAAAATTAACAATTTTTATTTAAGAAAAATTATCTAGTTTTTCTAGGAAAACAAAAATTTTGCTAAGCATGTTTCATCTTCATCAATTTTTAGCCCATTCAACCCAAATTGACAAAAAATTTGCTCTAAAATTATAATTTAATGAGTTTTACCCGGATAATTTAAATCATCACTTCAGCTTTTTCTAAATAAATTGCAGTTTTTCTCCCCAAATTTTAAAAAATACCTCTGTTTTAAGCCACTTGCTTAAAATTGTAAAAACATAGTGTCTCTTCACCCTTAGCTCGAAAATCGTAACAACGAAAGATCCGAACAGATTTTTATTGACACCGGAGAAAAATTTAATATCATACATGTTTTGCAACTATCTGAATTTCCGCAAAAGAAGTTGAAAGGAACTTTAGAAAAGCAGTACATCTCTTTGTGATCAGACCAAGCGTGAAAAGATTACAAGAAAGTATAACGTTTTAATTCATAATTTACTAAGCGTACATTGCTGGTTGTTTGCTTAGTAATCTAGCCTAAGTTATTAGTCTCAGCTAAGATCGTCAAGCTAGTTGACAAAGTTATTGTCAAAACATTGGTTAGAAAAGAGTTTGATTTTGTATAATGGATAGTTAAGCAAAAAAGATTTGTTATTTTAATGAACAACTGCCTTCAGAACCAATAGGTATGGGGCCGATGCCTAGTTTTTACAGCCTATTCACAACCTATTTCACAAAAGGGGTTAGTTTTTATTAAAGAATAAGATTATGTGGAAACTTTATGTCATACACAAGCTAAGTATGGTTGATTTTTGTGTTCTATTCAAAACAAACATTAGTATTTTTTTTGTTCCACGCAACCGCACCACAATAAGATGCAAAAAAAATAATACATCAGGTTCATCTTGATTGTATCATAAAAAGCAAATTTACACTTTTTGTTGGAATTAACTAGATGAAAACAAGAAATTATAAAAACTTTAATGAGTGTAAGGCAAGAATAAACAAGAATTATCTTTAATTTGAGATGATTTTGTCAAAACAGGCAATTTTTATTTGACTTTTGATAAAAAAAAACATAAGATAATTGAAATACAACAAATTCATAATGAAATATCGAAGAAAAAGAAGTTTTAAAACCAATTACAAAAAGGTATTATACAAAATAATTTAAAAGGAATAGTTTTTTTCGGTTGTAAAACATTGCACTAAATCATGTTCGCAGTCTTAGAAAAGGAAAGTTCGCCGTGAAATTTTTGATTTAAAATTTAAATAAATCATCATAATAAGCCTACGGTCTAAATTTCAAAGTGTTGCTTTGGAAAATTTTTGTTTTAGAGAGTTTAAAAGCCTGCGTGTAATGGATTCTTAATTTCCTTGTTGGTAATTTGGCCAAAATTTGAGGGGCGATTGATGAAAGTCTCAAAGGTTCCCTACAGCCATTAAAAACTAGTTTCGTTTTATAGGGAATATGGTAATATAAAATTTAAAGGGCTACTTAAATACAATAAAAAATTGTAGGCCAAAATTTGCGGCGCGTTGGGTCAAAAAAATTTATTCGCTCATTTTTTAAAAATGAATGTTGGTTAAAAAAAAATTATCACCAATTGTTGAAAATGAAAAAGATATTTATTCTCTTTTGGATGAATTTCAACTAGTTTGCATTTGACAAATCTGACAAAAATTCTGTTCAAGGTCATCATCTCTTCTTTGGCCCTAAATGGAAGCCGATGATACAAATTAACTTCGCAGAATAAGTCTGTAAAGAATTTTTTAGGCTAGTTTTTTCATCAAATAGTTCACTCTATTGGTTCTCGTTTTTGTACAGTGGGTAATTTTACAATCCCTTCAGTGTAATACTGAAATTTTAGTGATAAAACCGCTTGAACATGAAATGAAGAAAAACTAGTAAAAACTAAACATTTTCAAACTCCATGCTTTCTGCAATAACTTTTGCAAACTTTTTTTGAATTCGAAAAGTTTTCTGTTTTAGTCACTAAGATCCGATTCTTCTATTTTCATTTGATATTTAGGATGACCGATAATTGTTGGCGTATTTGACTGTTTTCGATCTCGATAAAGAGTTTAATCCGCATTTACGCACTTTTGGCATATACTATTGAGTTTCTTTTATGACCGCCCTTCAGTGTAGTATATCAGGTGAAACCATGCTTTAAGCGTTACCGAGAAGGCAGTGATAGTATCAAAAGTAGAGTCAAAAATTGTATAACCTGGAAATTTAAAATTTTATCCATTTACAGCAACGGTGTTTATTAAGAGTTACTAAGCGGTAGATGCTGTATGTTAAAATTCTGCGATAACTGTCAAAATTAAAAAATGAATATGTTGCTCTAGTGTATAGTGAAAATTGGGTTTCCAGACCGTTACTTTTATTTTGTCTCCAACGGGATGTTGGAAAGTTCAAAATACAACTATAGTTTTAGCTCCGACTGAGACTGATCAAGTTTAAATGAACAAAATTGCACTCATCAAAGGTATAGTCTCCAGGATTGTCATCATCACCGAAAGTGTGGATTTGGTAAAGTGAAAGATAACAGTTGTTTTGGTTGAAAAATTTTATAATGTTCAACCTGTCACGCGATTGAGAACTTTCCTTGAAATATGACATATACAGGCATCCTTGCTGGGGATTCATATCATTAAAATTGTTGTCAACTCTTGACCTACAGCTATAGTTATGGTTATTTCCGTTTGCATTCTCTCTTATTCGAAACGATGAAAAATTCTGCTCCTGTTGATCTTTGTATTTAAAGCACTGGCTTTTGTATGGTTATTTTGCAACCTTTTTTTGCAAAATATTGGATTGTTTTGTTTGTTTGTTTGTTCAATTGGATCATGAGCTGCGTTTATTCATCATGTGCTACGATCCTTCATTAGTTCAATTAACTCTTTAAGTTGATGCTTTATTCTCTCTACTTTCAATTTTTGATCTACGCTACATGATACTGTTCCAGTAAATCTACTACTTACTGCGAAACCTAAAGTTTTGGTAGCAATATGATCTATGGTTTATTGCCAAGTTGCCGGTGGATTCTCAAATAAAAATTGATGCACCTTTGGTTTTAAGCATGGCGGACTCAAGCATTTTACGACGAAATTCATTCTCTTTGCTGTTCTTTGATCATCATTAAAATTGGGTTTGGATTTGGATCTACTGAGGTGCCTAATCTAAGTTTTCAACCTTAGATATGTTCATTAAGTTGTCTTTGTTTGTTTTCTGCTTCTATTCGTCTTCTATATTTATCCTTTTCATCAATGAATCGTTATATAAACTGATCTCCTATATCATTCGAACGTAAACCTGCTGCTAATCCCTGATATCATTGAGCGGCTAGATC